TCGCCCATGGGCAGGGACACCGGAGCAGCCTTCCCACGGGTTGTGCTGGGGGGCGGCCGGTCCCTGTCGTCGTCAGGCCTTCTGTGTGTGCGGTGGGGCGGGGGGCGGCAGTGTGAAACCGCACGGCTGTAGGAGCTGCGGGATCGAGGGAAACCTGCCTCACGCAAAGCCCCCGCGCTGGCAGCCCGGCTTTTCCCCTGCTCTTACTGCTTGTGCCCGAAGGACGTCTAAGAAAGGGCCCGATGAACGTCTAAGAAAGGGCTCTGAAAGGTATTTTTATTCATAAAGCAAGAAAGGAACACACTTCTCAGTTAAAATAATAATAATAAAGTCTATTCAGCTTTCCTTCTTCCCCCACTTTTTTTAAAAAAAAAGCAAAAACCAAAACCCATGTGGATAAGGGGGAACTGAGCTTCAGCTGTGCTTAGTAAGTAGGGAAGTTCCATCTGTCTTCATAGTTTCAATCTTTGCTTTTCCTCAGTTCCTCATAAAAGCCATCCTTTTACATAGAGAGCATTCTCCATGCCTTGGTTTATGTGGCTGCATGAGTTTCAGTACTGGGATGCTTTTTGCTCTCTTCCCCAGCACTGGTACACTGATGTGAGGTTATTATGTATTGGCTAAAATACATAATGTACATTGTATTATGTACTGGATAAAAAACCCAGCCTTCTTATTCTGAGTTGTTAAGTTATATTTGTTAGGGTATTTTTATCCCCAGACCACTTGCACATCCAGTTCAAAATATGTGTCTTGCCTTCTTCCCTCCCTGCCCTTCCCCACTTTATAAGCTCACTTGGAACAATGGCCAGAATTTTTAAAAAATACTAGTATTGCTGTGAGAGCCTCTACAGTATGCCTTAGTGCAAAAAACTCACAGTTTTTCACTGTGCATAACAAATGCACGTGCAGTTGTGTACATGGCAAAAGGGCTGTGCAGATATATACAGAGTACCGTAGCTTTATACCACTTCTCACAGCCTGTAAAACCTGCTATAGACAGTGATGTATTTTCTAACTAATAATTAGGTTATGAGCTGCCATTAATTAGTTATGCATGAGAATTACATCTGCTGGGGACCATTGTGCTTATATTTCTACGTGAAAAAGATGAAGACTAGGGTACAACCTTCTTAAGCACAATGAAACAACAAATCAAATATAACAATGTATTTTAAATGCTATTTAATACACTCAAAGTTTGAAAAAATGAGCAAGAAAGGGGTAAGTTTTTATAAGGAGCAAAGCCTATACATAAATGTGTCTGTAAGCAAAAAGGGAATTGGTGGGGAAACATCAGATTTGATATACATGTAAGCTTTGTTGAAGATCTGGGGTACAAGTAGTGTACTGTTTTCCTCTTTGTTTTTAAGGCATTTTAGAACACTACTTGCAAGAGCACGTGGCATATGTAGAGCAGTTTGACCTCCGACAGAATTATGGTTCGACTAACAATGGGCCTAATTGCTAAAAGCATCAGTCACAAGAATCGAAGTGAAGAGGACTTCGGACAGTATCTGCGAAAAATAACTCATCTGAATTTATCAGATAAAAATATAGATGCAATTGTAAGATTTATTTTTCTTTATTCCTTTTAACCTGACTACTCAAATATTTTGTCATAACTGTTATGGGTTGCCTGAAACTGTAATAATATATATCATCTGTATAGCAGACAAGAAAGATACTATCAGCACACCAACTGTTATGAGTTGCCTGAAACTGTGGTAATATATATCATCTGTATAACCGTATCCTGGGCTGCATCAAGAGAAGCAACTATTTTTGCCATTAATTAATTAATTAAAATAGAAGATCTGTGTAAGCAATTACACGAGATGAACTGAAGTGTTACAGTGAAGTGTTTTTTGCAGTATTTCACAGAACTATTCTAGAAATCTGCAGCTGAAAACAATAAAAATAAAACAAAAAAAAAACCCATTTTCCTATTTTGATTATTTGTTACAGTTGCTACATTGTAAAGGAGCTTTCAGGAAGTCACCAGAATGGAAATGATAACTCTGCTTCCTTACCTCGTCAGCCACTTGAGAAAGAGAGTATTTCAAATGAATAATTTTGCCCTGACACCTTTCCTGCAGCACGTAGCCGGGCTGCTGCCATTGAGTCAGCAGGTGTAGGGCTTTGACAGCAGCGCTCTGGCCCAGTTAAAGTCTAGCTAGAGTGTTCTTGGAAACTTTAGGTCTGAGGTTAAAAGCAAAGTTCATATTTTCAGCAACAGTTTGGTTTTCTATTTAAAGACTTGTATTTATTGATAGTTACATTTATAAAAATGCAAACTGGAATAGAAGAAGATGTAAGGAACTAATAATTTTGCAGATTAGATTTTTTTTTAAAGGCAATAGTAATGATATTATATACTATTAAGTGCAACACTGTTTTATTCTTATTAATGCCATATTTTTTCTAGTCTTGGGAATTTGCAAAGAGCTGTTAACTTGCAGCACAATCTTTTCAATCTATCTGTGATTTATTCCTTGGATTTCAGAGGAAGTCTAAGAAGGGAAAGGGGAGTTCAGGAACAGGATATAAGCTAAGTGAGGTTAACAAATTTGGACTGGTGTAGTGGCTTTTTCAAATTAGTCAGGTTAAAATCTACTTTTTTTTTTTAATTGCTCCCTAAGGCTTATTAATTTAAAAAATAATCCATGACCTTTTCATTTTCAGAGACTAAACCTGCAAACTTAACCCAGTCCTCCTTTCTCTGAGTTTAATAATAGGATATTTATACAGGTTTCAGTAAGTCCTGAGTTAATTCAAATCCCGTCAAAATACTGAACACATTTTGAAATTGCTAAACCCCGAACAACTGAATTGTTGTGTATGGTGTATTTCTTCTCTAAAATTTTTATTTCAGTCAAAAAGTTTAAATAGCTTGTTCTGTCTGAACAGATGCATGCAAGCGAATGGGTTTATTCGGCCCGCTCCTAGGAACGTGCACCACCACCATAGCGAGTTACTAATTGGATCAGTCCATTTGATTAGGACCAGTTCATCAGATGCCATGGAGAAGTTTTACAGAAACCCTCATAAGAACATGTGACCTTTTAGTTATTTAAGAGGAATACATTCAAAGAAACATGACATTTGAGTGGAATCTTATATTTGGAAGTGTACTATAATACATTGAAGTGCAAGTTTTTCTATAAATCAGTATTCCTTTGCCAAGAACTGGTTCCCATTACATCACTGAGGTTTGATGAAGACAATTACACTCGTGCTTTTCTAAAATCCACCTGATGAAGGCAGGGAAGGGAATGAAGTCACACAGGATGTGATGTACCTGCTGATGATGGCTATAGTCCTCAGCTTCTGTACAGCAGAATAGTAATGACAAATTTCAGTCTTAAATCTAATGATTACTGCCACTAACTCAATTTTTCTAGGAAAAATAGTTGTTAAAAGTGTTTGTTAAAGGTGAAATTGTGTAAATCATGCAACAGAACTTAAATATTAAAACAATCCACGGCTTCCAGAAGCAGGCAGTGAGTGAACTCTATGTAGCATTAATTTGTTATTGTTTATTTCAGGGTGACCTCCCTTTGTGTAAAAATCTGAGAGTTCTGTATTTGTATGATAACCGAATCAGTCAAATCCAGAACCTGGACTTTGCCTCAAGTATAACGCACCTTTACCTTCAGAACAATCATATCTCATGTATAGAAAATCTCTCATCGCTGAAAAACCTTGAAAAACTGTAAGTTGAAAATGATGCACTTATTTTACTAGTAAAAGAGTAATTATTACACTAAGAAATTAAAAAATTATGGAGCTATTAAGGTCCTTTCAGCCCTTAAATTTTGCTTTTTCAAATAAAAGTAATTGCTTATGATTTTTTTATTAACTGTTCTGTGATACAAGTAATGACATATCATCTTCATATATTTATTTGCATTTCAATTACTTTCTTTTTTTTAGCCTTTGAATAATAATAATAGCAATATATAAAACTGATAAAAAAACCTTGAATCTGTTAGCTCTGTTTTCTACTTGCATGTTAGGTTGTTTACTTTTTCCATTATAATTTCCAATTGTTTAATAATAATTGAAAAATTATATATATATATATATATATATAGGCCTTATGTTTGCTTTTACTTCCAAAGGTTATTAAATCTGTTTTGTGTTCTCTTTTGCAGGTATTTGGGGGGCAACTGCATCACTGTAGTAGAGGGTTTGGATAAACTAGAAGAGCTAAGGGAGCTACATGTTGAAAGTCAACATCTCCCTCTTGGTGAAAAGCTTCTGTTTGATCCAAGATCTCTTAGGTCCCTGGCAGTAAGTACAGGTTGAGAATTTTGATGAGCTGTTAATCAGTAGATTTTTAAGATAAGTGATTAGGACTTGATCACTATGTGTTTTCCTTTTCTGCCAATTGGTGGCATTCCTTCCAATTCTACCAAGGGACTTCCATCCCAATTCTCATATAAGCAAGGAGTCCAGCAGATTCAACTTCATTTATTTATTTTTCTATGAAGGATGGACACGATAATAGAGAGAAGAAGTAAGGAAATGTGTGGATGCCCTATTCCAATAGAATGTGAATAAACTAAAAAAGGGGCAGGAATTTATCACTGTTAGTTATCTCAGTCAACTTCTTTGTAGTGAATTAGTTTGTTGGTATTTCTCTGATTTGACTGCTACAGTAGTTTATTTACTGCCTTTTGTGTTTTTCTAGAGAATGCAATGGCAAAAAAAGTGCAAACAGCTTTTTTCTGGATATTAAGAGCAACACAATCAAAAGCATTCGGGTTTAGTTCTGCAATTTTTCTATCTTGTGTTATGTCAAGATGCCAGGAAAGTCAGCTTTTGAAGTTTTCTTTCAACATGGTAATTGCTCAGTAAACATCAAATGTATTGTTGAAGTGGTTTAAAAAAACAGACTTTGTTTACTAATGGACATAGTTCTATACTAAAGAATTTTCGTCTTGATGTATCTCCCAAAGTGTAGTTAGGGCTTGATGAGCTTTTTTTGTGAAGACGAAGCTAGAAATGAAGCTTTCAGGGAAGAACTCACTGAAAAATGAGTTATTCTGTTCATGTGTATATCATAAACATTTGACGTATGTCTAATTCTTTCTGTTTTGAGATTAAGTAATCCAAGATATATATTGCCATTTTCCTTTAATAGAAATGAGCCATTCCTGTGAGAGGAGCACTTTTACTTTGTTCCTTCTATATTGGAGGAACGATGAAAGTAGAGGGAGGTTATATAGCTATAATCTTCCCTGGATGATAACTTGTATACTTGAGGATGTTTTTCAGCATCCTGGCCTAGAGTGATTAGCATTTTGTTCCTCGTGGCTTTTATTAAGGTCTTTTGGTGTGGGTTTTGTAAGAAACACTTTGCATTCTTGGCCATGTAACAACTTTGTGGAAGCTACATGTGAGAACATTCTATTTTTATCCTTACAGCACTAAGTGTTTGGTTCCTCTTTAAGACATAACTCCTTACTTCACCATCTTCTATCTGTTTCTGGCTCTTACTGCTGTCAGAGATGGAAGAGCCAAAAACATGGGACCGTATAGCTCTCTGTGTACCACAAAGAAATGGTTTTATGATGACAATATAATGAGTCTTTTGACTCAGGAGATTAAGTTTATGCACTGTGTGTATCAGGATGATACTGGTAATTTCTGCCTGCAACGTAGATCTCGTTAGATTTTAGAAAGGGATTGCATTTCCTGCATACACGCCTGAAATAGACATTTTCTAACTAATGGTAAGTCCCGTATCTGGTGTAATTCTAAATTCACTGGATTAGGTGTCCTTTTTCATCTTCTAGAGATACAAGCTTCTTGTTCCTTTTACGTGAAACTGTAAATATTTCCCGAGATAAACACCTAAAACACATTTACTTTTTATCTATGATGTAAAGATCTCTCTAACTATTGTCTGTAACAAAAGGCAAAGTGCGGTATGTGATTCACTGGTGTTCCAAAGAACGGAAAAGGAATAGAGGTGTGAATATGGAGGGGTTTGTAGGATCAAGCCTGGAAAAGAAGCAGCACAGTCAGGCTGTTACATGAGACTACATGGGTATCAGATACAGATCTCAGCTCTATGCAGTTCTGATGGAACCTTGGAAAAGGCCATCAGTTTCTGTGTCTGTTTCGCACTTCAGATGTAGACAGCACTTGCAGAACTCTGTAAAGCATTTGAACACCTTTAGAGGAAAACAAAAATTCTGTATTTACTAAGAATACCTGAAATGAGAAATAATCTTACTTTGGTTCGACTTTAAAACCAAAATAAACATCATTTTAGGACAAGATGGAAAGCCAACAAAACAATGTATGAGGTATGTGGTAGCTGCATTTACATGTTTCTACTTCGTATGCTTGTTCTTCCTTTAAGAGAATTTTCTGTAAGAATTTACAACTTGACTCATGCATGGCATGAAAAAATCATTTTCCTTTTCTGCTTTTCTTCCTCCAGAAATCTTTGTCTGTGTTGAATATCAGCAATAACAACATTGATGAATTAGAAGAACTGTCAGTTTTGGAAAATGTTTCTTATCTTAGAGCAGTTGACAATCAACTTCAACATATGAAGGTATTAAAATAGATATTTTTTCTATTTAGTATGGGTGATAAGAAATTGGTCAAATTCATCTTTATCACTAAATAGATGAGTAAAAATAAACTTTACTTCTACAGTTACTGAACATCTGACTTTCCAAGCATGCTGTCTTTTCTCATCCAAAAATCTTGTTGAGATTTAAAATGGAGAACCATTTATCTGGGATAAATATCAAAGTGTCCTTTAATGCTACGTAAAGTGGCAATTGTGCAAGCTTCTCTCAGCTCAGTAGTAAATGCACAGAAGTTAGAACTAGAATATAATATGTCCAAAATGTAGAGTTAGTGTGTATGTTTTGGCCATCTGAGTAACTATCAGGGGCTTAATCTGCAAAGATGACATGGCCATTGTTTGTTAATTAACTTGCAACATTTTGACATATTACAGTTTTTAATTCCCTGTTAACATAAATAAAAGCTGCTTCTTGGATATCAGATCATCTAGCTGATTTTGCAGCCATTCTAATACCAAAATCACTTTTTGATTGTTGTTGCTGGAGTATCATAAGAAGTATTTGTCACGAAGGTATATATTGAATTTCTTTCATCAATTTCTGCTAGAGAAGGACATGTCTTCATAAGCAAGAGCTCTAACTTGTGCAGTAGCAGCTAAAACAAATGAAATAAAAGTATTTTTGCTCTTCCTTTTGCAGTAGTGAATGTGGTTCAAACAGAATGTTCTAGACTTACAATTTCCAGCTTATCTCCTCAAAAAGGAACAGGAGTATTGTCCTTGTCACTTCTCATTACTTTTATAAGTTATAATGTCTTCACTTCTTGACATAAAGAGCAGTTAAAAAAATAATTTTAGTGTCATGCTAATAACTGAGCATCAAACTTAGGTTGAACAGTATGCTGACACCATCACTGCATGGTGCAGGCATGGAACAAACTTTATAAATTACTTAATAAGCTTTTTTGAAATACATATTTTTATTAATAAATACTAGGATGAATTGGCTTAAATTTTAACCCAAATCACCAAGACAAAGCCTTGATTAAAATAAACTCTTTCATTATTGGTTTGCACATACATTCTGTTTCCTTAGAAAAGTTAACTTTCTTTTGTTAGCAATTATTAAAATAACTATTCTTATTAATTCTTAGAACACTTAGTGTCTTTTACATTAAAGTTGGCAGTTCTGTTTACTAATTAGGAGATTCCAACATTTTGTGTGCATAATTTGTCAATTATGTAGGTCAAGATATTTTATTTAGACTCTTAATTTTTTATATTTTAATATTTAAAAATGTTTAATGATGCATTTCTTTTTTAGTAGAGGATTATTACTGTCTTGTGTTTCTGGCTGGCAGTTGTGATTGAATTAACATTGAAATACAATTAATGTAGGCTTTTGCTGGGTAATTAAAACCATATTGAATGTGTTGGCTACATCAAAATAACAGCAAGCTTTATTAAATAGGTAGTCTCCACAAAGCTTCCCTTTTGAAAAGGTTTCCTTTTCTAAATAGTATGTTACAGTTATTTTTTATTGTCTTTTTTATTTCTTATAAACACAAAAGACTTCAATTGTGATGATCTTAAAAGAAGATTGTCTTAGCCAAAGAAACAATGATTTTTAAGAATCAAAAAATTTTTAAGGATGCCAGTTCAGAGACAGTGTTTTCAGTGTACCAGAGGAAAAAACATCTTCTGAAACAGAATAAGGAGAGGACAGAAAGACTGCATTATTCAGTAACTGTGTATATATTATTTATTCATTATTAGATTTCATTATTTCATCATCAGGAAGGCCAGAGTTAATATTTACCCAAATAAATTAGACATTTGGATTTCTATGTTACAGTCACAGGTTTTGAAGACGTATGTGGTTAGCACTTGGGTTAGCTGCCACAGCTGCTGCTATCAGTTGCACTTGGATCAAGCTCTGGTAAATTTTGAGAGTGACTGTCTTGTGTGTTTTCTAAACAACCTCCAAGTTTTGAAAATATGGAGCAGAGAAGGTGTTTCTATTCATATCTTTGCAGACCTGTAAAATTAATGACCATATTGAATGTGTCTAACATAGGGTGGTGCACCTGGATATACAACCTTCCAGCTACAATTACTGTGTTTTAGAGATTACACTGATCAGAGACCGTGGTGGTGCTGCATGACAGAGGAGTGTCAAAGAGCTCTGTGCCGAGCTCTGCTTCACCTGGTGGGAAGAGAAGCTGTAGAGGAGCCATCCAGGTCTGAGCAGGGCTGGTCAACAGCAGCGATCTGTGTAGCAGAGGTCGATGGCAGCAGAAATAATATGAATCATAGAATGGTTTGGGTTGGAAGGGACCTTTAAAGGTCATCCAGTCCAACCTCCCTGCAGTGAGCAGGGACATCTTCAACTAGAAGAGCTCTGTCCAGTTGGACCTTGAATGTTTCCAAGGATGGGGCATCTACCACCTCTCTGGGCAACCAGTTCCAGTGTTTCACCACCCTCATTGTAAAAAAGTTCTTCCTTATATCCAGTCTGAATCTACCCTCTTTTAGTTTAAAACCATTACCTCTTATCCCATTGTTACAAGCCCTGCTAATAAGTGTGTCCCCGTGTGGAATCTTTCAAAAGAGGGAAATGTGAAAGGCATAAAAAATGCATGGAACACAATCTTCTCATGTAGACTTTTCTCAGTTTTGTATAATTAGTATAATTTTTTTATATCTAATCATTTATTTTGGTTTTTTCACATTATTATGAAAACCCATACTCCCTCGCTTTTCAACAATGGCACATTGATTTCAGCAAAGTTGAAAATTAGGGCTAGTAAATTCAAGCACTTAAAGTTCTGGCTAATTCAGGGCATTGTTAGCATAATTAACAGACATCAAGGCATATGACCTTGTTTCACATGACTGAAGTTTATATAATGCAGTCTGAACAGTAGACAGAACAAAGTTAAGTAATTTTTCTCAATTCTTGCAAAATAACTTACTATGACTAGCTACCACATGTAAAAAGCATGTCTTAGGTCAGTTACCCAGAATATAATTGATTTTAATAGAATTAGCTTTTCTTTGTTTTCCATTGCTTGCTACTTCATTTATTTATCCTATCAACTTCTGGTTTACTTTAATCAGGTTCACGAGGAATTCAGGGCTGCTGCGGTGTATTTGGGTTGGTATACTAAGGGAATCTTTTGAAAACACTATTCGTATTTAAAAAAAACCCCACAACTATTCCCGTTTACAAAAAGCCAGAATATTATTTAATTATTAATTACATTCATTTTGAGAAGATTATGAGTTGTGTGAGTATTTGGATAAATAGTGAAAATATAGCTGGAAATACCTATAAAAATCTGTATTTCTTAAGTCTTTAATTTATTCAACCTCTGCCCAGTATTGATTATGACAAGTGGATATCACAAAAGATGAATTCATTCGCTTCAGAACTGAGTCAGGAACAAGAGAAAAATTATAGATTTTCTCAAATAGATTATGACAGGTAGTCAAAATGGTGACAAATTGCTGTCTGTAGATGTAGTTGGGGCATTTGGACTAGACTTTTCCGATAAAAACTGGAGCATACTGGTCAAATACCAGTTCTTAAATGGCCATCGTTAATTGGTCAGAATGTTACTGCCAGCACTGCAGCTGCCTGCTAAGGCACTTGCCTTTTCCCCTCTCCCCCCACCCCCAATGGAATATAATTTGTTCGTCAGTATTTTGTAGCAGACCTCAAAGTGATAGCATGACATGATCATTTATCAAATGGAGACTGCCCAGAAGAGTGTCTGGTCCCTTTAGTGCAGCTTATTGAAAGGCTGGGAAGTGAAAGCACTTTATTAGAGACAGGAAGGCAATGAACAACTAGAGCGTATCGAAAGGGTAATCATATTTCAGCACAGGATTAGTGCGCTGTTAGATAAACATACACTGGAGTAAGCATGTTCTGGGTCATTTATCAAGTAAGTAACAGCTAACAAAAATCTACAGGACTCTTTGTATACATTCGTCAAACTTAAACTGTATACGTTTTGTTTCAGTAACAGACAATTTTGTGTTGCAAAACTATTACTTGAAAAAAATATTTCTACTGAAATCTAGAACACATTACAGATTTCAATGACAATGCCTGAATGATTAGGTAAGAATAAATAAATACACCTGCTAAATGCTGTTTCTTTTTTAATAAGCCTAGCCTAAAATATTTTTCCCCTAAATGGTTGTGTTTGTGATTAAGTGTTAGCATGTAAACTGTGGGAGTTATTATATTGCTATTCTGATATATGCTGATAAAACTTGGCTGTGTAACATTATGAGATTTATCAACATTTATTCATGTGGATGGGTCCTCAGAGTTTCTTGCATTGTTTTATCAGTCTTGCTCCTCACAAAACCAGACTTTTGGCATCTATTTTTCTAAAAAGACGTTATCATCACTGGAAAACAATAGATAATAGATGATATCACCATCATCGATAGACCAAAAGTGATATGGTTTGGAGGCATGAGGCTGTGTTGCCACTTTCTCTTCCATGTGATTTTTCTAAACTTGTATTATATAACCCATAGAAAATTCCAGGAGGATTTTCTACCAAGGGAGTAGAGCTTCCAAAACCAGAATTCTCCCTGCTTTCATTACTCATGTGATTGTCTAACTTTGAAGGAGCTAAGAGATATTTGCATTGCTCGATACTTCACTATTGGCATCAAGCTACAAAGTTCTACAGACTTGGCGGTTTAGAATCTGTCACATCATGATTAGTAGATTTTTTCCAGATTATTGCAACTGTAGAACATAAATTATCTCTCCTCTTGTATTCATACAGATTGTTTCGAATCCCTCCTTAAGCTTTTCGCACTTACAAGGAAGCCTATCAAGAATGACAGTTAAATGAAATTTTGAAAATGAAGTATTTCAGAAAGTAGGGTCTCTGAGTAGAACGGACCAATCTGCTAAGCTTTGCATCCTTTTAACTTGAATTTATTGTATTTAAAAGACAGAAGAAGTTTTATCTAGGTCACATTGCCCTTGGGTAATCAGACAGAAACCCAGATGCCGAAAGGTATATTTCACAAATTTCACTATTTGGGCCAATACTGTAACTGACCACCCACAGTTATGTAGGGGGGGATTACTGTTTCTCCTGTAAAGTACAGTTTTACATATATATAAAAAGAGAGGCAGTCTACCGTGGTTTGCATGGTTTTTAGCTTTTTTTTAGCCTGTTCTTTCTCTGTAAAGAATTCTTCCACAAATTTTTCAAAATCTAATCAGACACTGGTACTCTAAGGGCTCTGTGAGACCATGGGGATGCATTAACAGACACTACATATACAAAATTTTTGGCTAGTAATGCCTCAGCTTTAGGTGCTTATAAGTGGGATTGTAATGGTAATTTTCTATTCTATAGCTGGCATTACAGTATCCTTAAAAATGCAGAGGTTTCCAACTGCATCACCATTTCTTCTGTGCAATTATGATATATTCAGGGAATGTTACGCACCACTACTTGAAAATGCACATTCTTAATGTGCATTTTAATACATGAATAGTCTCATTGAAGTTAATTCTGTGTGTAGGATTTGGGCCTGTCTGAACAAATCACATAACTATTGAATTTTACTCTGGAGGGGGAAAAATAATCACAATGTTCTGTTCTTGTATCAATTGCAGGATTTGGAGGTTGTTTTAAACAAATGGACAAAGCTCCGTAGAATAGATCTTGCAGGAAACCCTGTCTGCCACAAACCGAAGTACAGGGATAGGATTGTAGTACAGTCTCGAACTTTAGGTAAGAAATAAAACCAGTAGCCAGCCCCAAGACCCACACATAACCCTCATTGTTTTAGAAAACAGATGATACATTAATTGTTCTTGAATTGCACCATGTATGTAAACACAACTGCTGCCATAGATATTTGTGTCAAATGATAAATTTTTAATTTATCTGCAGGTAATGTAGCTAAAACTGCTTATGTAACCAACTGCACAAACCATGTTGCTTAGCTTTTGATATTAGTAGGAGTAATCATTCATTTTGTAAGAGATGATTGGTGAGATTGTTATAAGACAATAAGGCTTTTTTGTGTTCCTGTTCCAGGTGTTGTGAAACTGATTTTCCAAGATAGGTATCGTCTGCTCCTCTATCAGCCTGTAGTAGTTGCTTAGGGGTTTTAGTTGTAGAGGTCATACCTTACCATGTTTGAATTTGTTAGATAACATTTGTCCTTAGACTTAAAAGCTGTTTACACTTATGTTATGAATGCATTTGTTAATCTTAACCTTACTGTGATGCATTTCACATTATTGAGATAATTTTAGCATAAAAGGAAGCAACGTAGTCTTCTATATGTAAGTATTCATACTGTAGAAACAATGCCTGCTCATTTTGTACTTTTATGGATAAAGGTGGCAATTATCTTAAAAGTTGCAATTACAGAACTTGTTTTTCTTTTTCTTTTTTTCTGAGAGTACAAAATATTGTCCATTAAGAAAAAGAAAAAGCCTGTCTGCACAATGAAAATAACAGTGCCTTAGGATAGTTCAAATGCAACTTAAATTTGTGGCCAAATGAGTTATTTCATTTGGTCTGACTCAAAAATGCAGATGCAACCAAGGAAACATAGAGCATAAGCTTTATGGCACCTAAGTGAGTAACATTAACCTTAAGGAGCCAAATCTGACTGTCTCTCTTCGTGACCAGTAGGATTCCTTGGTTGCTAAGAGATGCAGTTTCTCTCTCTTTGCTGTGTAACCTGAATTTCTGCATCTTTATATATCTCATGTAACAGCACAGCTTTTCTTCAGAACTTTCTCTAAGGTGTTGCATGTTAACTGAATATGAAATATATATATTTCCCTTCAAAGTTATAAAAACAACAGATGCTTTCTTTCATAGTTAAGATGTGTCTACTCACTCTTGAAGCTTTAATATGAATATAAAGGCGTATTGGATATTTGGTTTATTGACTAAAAAGAGAAAAAAAAGATTTGAAGAGAGCACATACAGAACCAGTACACATTACATATAGTTTTATACAGCCTTTTAGTTAACTTTGGGTATCACAGAAAATGTTCTCTTCTCTTTTACAGAATCTCTTGATGGGAAAGAAATTAGAGAAGTGGAAAGACAGTTCCTAATGAATTGGAAAGCCTCCAAAGCTGCCAGGAAAAAAAACAAAGAAAGAATGACAAATGAACATGCAGCCTATCTACATCTTTGTAAGCAAACTAATCAATTATTTCATGCTTATTTGCAAAATTACAGAAAACATAAAATAGCAGCTAATAGTAAATATACTAAGAATGAGACTTGTACTGGTGGCGAGACCAAAACGCAGAAGTCGAACTTTTCCAATGTAAAATTTAATTTTAACACTAGTTCATGTGGTGTTTTTTCCCCCTTCCATCCCAATCTCCCAGAATTATGTAAAAGAGTAGCTAGTACATTTTGAATGTTTGTAAATACTCTTCATTACTTTCTAAATGAAAAAAAGAAAAAGTGTTGGGCATTTGAGAATAAATATACATGAAATATATCAGACTTATAAAATCTATTTGTTGATACTTATTTGATCTCTGTAAATTGCTATTCCTCTTAAAGGCCTTCACAGGATACATGTCTATCAGAAGTAAGTTTTAAACTTGGAAAGGAAAAAAAAAAAAGTCTTGGAGGGAAAAAAGCCTTAAACCTAAAAGAAAATGCAACACGTTTGTTAAATTTCTTCACCCTCGGTTTCCCGCAGCAGAGTCTCAAATGCCAGATTCAGGAAAATAAATGATTTAATTGAGTGGTACAGCAAAAGGAGCAGCTCAAGCTGGGTGCTTCTGGAGAGGGACCCAGAATAAAGAAACCCCTGAGCATTTATCCCCTTGCAGTCTATGCACCCATTCTTCATGCCCACTGTTCACAAGCCTTGCACGTGCCCCTTGGTCCAGTGGTAATTTCTGGTCTTGGGTCTTCTTGTTCCTTATTGGATTCCTTGTCTCCAGAAGGAGGCTGTCCTTGGTGTTCTTATCTGGACAGGTTGCAGCTTCTGCTGACAGTCGTAGCCCCCTTATCTCCCAATTTGCACTGCTTTTAGGTTTTCCTTCACGTAACTAAGCAACAGTTCAAGATAAGTTCAACTTTTCTAGGTGAAAGTTTGCAGCTTGCGGCCTCAGGCTTCAGTAAATGTAGCTACTCATGCTAAGTAAGTTATGCTAAACACACAGGATATTAAATAGCACAGAGCAATTACTTGTATTTAAAACTTATTTAAGCTAAACGACTAGTATTCCTTAACAACGTTCTTGAAGCAGGAAAACAAATTTGTTTCAAAACTCAAGCAAAGCCTGAAATAAACTTTGAGTTTTTTAAAAAATGGTGGGGTAGGGGGTTGTTGTTATAGAGCTGACTGCACATTAAAACATAAATGACTTAATAACATGTGTTGCCATCTTGCAGGATTTGGAAACAGACATGAGACTTCAAATTGCTCAAAATGGTTTGAATGACCATATTTATAAAATAAAATTGGTGGCAGCGACACTGTTGCTTTCAGGAGATAAACTGTAATATGTAACTTGGGGGAGAGAGCATGTTCTTTATAGCCATAGTGTATCAAATTATTAATTAATGAAATCTCACCATCATCAGTTATTTCTGAAGTCATGAAGTGAAAAGCACTCAGCTGGTCAGCCTCAGCCCCAAGGAAGCTGCAGTCTGCTCAGTGCTGGGAAGCCATATGTGAATGGCAATGGCTCCAAAAGTAATATTCTGTTTTCTGATTAACTACTGATATAAGGAGGTGCTATGTAATTGAATTTCCTCCCTTTCAAATAACTCTACCTGACTGGAAATACCTGCTTTAATATTCACTTTCATCAGTGTTTGCAGCACTTTCCATAATTTCATACAAAGTTTTCCATTCTCAATTATCAAATTTGAGGCATTTTACCCTAAGGCTTGTTACACTGTCTTCTATAACAAGATATATTGGAACTTGTGATCAGTCACACTGAATGTTTAAATAGTTATGGTTTGACTTGGGATATTGAATTAATCCTTTTTTCTTTGTTTTCTGCAGCTGACTTTGAAACACCTTATGCTAGTCTTCCCTTTCACTATAGTCACTCTGGGAAAGAAAAAACACATTTTTTAGTTTTGTCTGAAATGCATAAAGTTAAAAGTGAACTTTCTTTGAAAGACAGGATAATCGATTTCAGTTTCTGGTTATAAATCAGCAGACCAGCTAATAGTAATATATTTACTCCAGTGTTACCAGTTTCTGTCATGTGCATTTGATTGTAAACTTCCCCAAAAGTAAAATAGTATCAAAGTTAATTCTTGGAAGAACAGTTACTATGAGCAACATTGGTGAAGGCTGATCCCATCCACGCAGTAGTAATGCAGAAGTAGAAACAATCACTTTTCATCATTGAAGCTTACTTCTCATCCCCATGTTCCACTGTATTACATACTTGATTAGGATTTTCCTGTAGCATCAGCTCAAGACCATCAAGATAATCAAAAAAGAAAATCAGATGTGTGTGCCCTACGGACATTTAGACATGAGATGAATTTAAACAAGTCGGAGTTTAGTGTATGTATTCCTTACTCACATAAGCAGCCTTGTGAACTCTAATGCAACTGTTCATGGAAATAAAACCTGCTTATAGGGATTTGCAGTTTGGGACCTATAATTTTTCACATTTTACCTGTAATAATAATTTAGTTCGGTATTTGGGACCTAATATCACTCCTTCCAAATTTGTCACTACTTTTAACCTGTTTTATTATTTATTATTTAACTGTACCGGCCAACAAAAAAATCATAATTAATGCAATGCTGTAGATAAATACATCAATTCAACTCATACCAGTAACTAAATTACTAAATGTAGTGTTTTATTTTACATTAAAACCAGAATTTAGTAGTAGTTTTGAAAATTTAACTGAACAACATTTAATACTACTTTATTCTTGACAACTACCACTTTCCATTCCATCAGTTTTGTTCCTACTTATTATTTGTTCTGATTAAAAATAGCTGCTGTTCCCTTGAGAAGGGAGGAATTACAAATCACAGAGCTGCTCTCTTCCAAAGCATCATGTTTGTTCTTCCTATGACAACGGATATATTCCGGCCTAAAAAGAAACTGAACTTGTCATTCTTTTTTACCTGCTGCAGAAGGCACACAGCAGTGGAGAAGTTTAGAGACAAGGACTGCAGGAACAATGCACAAGTAACCACAAAATAGTGCTACTACGTGATTACTTTCCAGTGCACAGTCCAGGCTTGTGGAATTTAGAGGGATACAGCCTAATACTCATGTCATACAAACATGCTTTTTTTGTTTCATTTAATTCCATTGTGAAATTAGTTTATCCACATGCTCAGTGTCCCACGAGCTTGCATTTCATCTTTATTAGCATTCTGTCTTTTGGGACAGGGTTTTAATTTACCATTCCCCTTAGTTCTAATAAAGGATGGAACATGTGTGTACAGCACCTCCCAGAAAGTTATTTTCTTCAGTGTAAGAACTTCCTCCATCTGCTTTGTAATAAAGCATTCTGATTCCACTCTACTATGTTAAAAAGCTGGCCAATTGTTGAGCTGCTTTGCTTGACAATAATTTTCCCAGTATTAAGAAGCTGGAGTATCGTCCTGTTGTAATCCCTTCCGGCCATAGAAAGGCAAAGATTGCATCTTCCATACTTGATTGGAATAAAATGTCTATATCTGTATTAATATATGTTCACAAATAAAACATTTTGAGTGATTTTTTTTTAATTATTAGTCTAGATTTTACTCTGATTCACATAAAAGTTAGAATAAACTACAGTCAGATGACATGTATTTAATATTTTCAAAAAACTTGTAAGCAGGGCTTTTGTCTTGGATGCTGAAGGTTGCTGTACATTAAAATATACAGCAAATATATGTGTAATATATATATACAGCAAAATATATGTGTAATCACTGATCTGGAGATGTATTCTAATCTTGTTGCTTTGTTTTGGGAATTAGTTAAAGTGACTTCTTTAAAATGGTTTTGGTTTTTTTGAAAAAAAAAAAAACAAAAAACCAAAAAAAACCCCAAAAAACCAACAAACCCTCAAAATACAGAAATATTCATTCTCAGAGCGTATGCAAATATGAAATAATGACAAATCACAGTATTCCCTTGCCAGATCCAGTAATTAGGGATATGCATAAGTGTGCCCACATGTAAAGCCAGGAAATTTGGTCAAACTGAACAAATACCTGTATTGTTTAATTGAAATTCAGTATCAGACCAAAGAAATCAGTGAATTTTAATCCTACTCTCTGTGTTAGTTAAATAAATTATTCCAACAGATGTTTCCTCTTTCCCCGTACATGCTAGGTGATGTTTGACCTTGGCAACTGAAAAACAGGCATCAAATACCTTTTTAACCTACATCTAAGATCCACTGAGGATTACATACAGCGTGAACAATGAAAAAAGCCAGTTAATACTAGATTACTGAAATATGTCATTAATCTTTCCTTTTTGATGATATAAAAACAATAGCAATTTTATATTGGATTTTAAAATAGTTTTGAACATTTAGAGAGAATTATGGGTATTGGCAGGGAATAATTAAAAGAAAACAAATCACTTAACTATTTTAAAGATACTTAATACCTTCCAGTGGGATACACTATTATTAATATTCCCTGAGTAGAGAAGTTGTTGAAATTTTGATGTTGTAAACTTAAACTATAACCAGCATTTTCTGCCCACATTTCCTTACTCATGGAATTAAATATCGTAGTAGGTTTGCAATTCAGAATTTGCTGGGAAAGTCACCTTTTGTCTCTCCAGTGTATGTTATGTAACTGGCAATATAATAATATCTTTAAATGGGACAGTCAGCATATAATAAGTATAATACATATAGTGCACTGGATTGTGCCAGCGAATCATAAGCCACTCTCCTGTATAGTTCAAGTTCTAGTTCACGTAGAAGGAACCTGCAGTGAGCAACGTTAGTTCTCACTCTTCTGAGCTCTTTGGCAGGTGCTCTTATCGATGTTTTATTTATTCATTTATTTGTTTATTTAAATATTTATAAATGCCTTGAGTTGAAGTGATTTGTGTGGTCTGAACTCTATACAGAGTACTGCATATTTAACAACAGATAAGAATGTGCATGTTCTGCATGTATACTGGGCTTTTATTTATATGAATCTTAACTGTCATTATAATAAATAGAATTATTAAGGCCTATTATATGACAGGTTTTGGGGAGGGCTGATAATGAGATTATAACTTTTATAATTGTGTGTTTATTTCATATTACTGAATATAGTTCTCTTATTTGAGAGGGTGGTGGGAGAACATGTTAGCTCCAGGTAACCTAAATCTTGTTATCTTACTGAATATCAATTTAATCAAACTTCCAAAAATTCAAAAATAAAAAATATTTTCAATCTTGGCTTCAGAAAAAGGAGAAATATGAAGTTAAGATACAAACCAGTGCAGTTTGGGCTGTGCACCCTAGAACTGGTTTTAGTCACTTACTATCCTACAAGCACTCCAACTGTTTTCAGAATTAGGTGCGTTAAATATTTGGAGATACCAGCTGGAGCATTTTGGCAGAGCTGAGAGCACGTTTTGAACAGACCTGGAGTGCCTTTTCCATCTCACTGCCTTTCGTTGGTGGTGGTGTTGAAGGACAAATGCAAACATCTCCTCAGTGAGGTCTATAGAGTATCAATCAGCAATTAGTGCTGAAGGCTGTGGAAGAGAAATGTAAGGAATTTACTTGCCGCTGAATTATTCAGCCATGCTATGAGATAGGAAAGGAGTCACTGTAATGCTAGATAAAGTGTAAGGATGAAGAGGTGAAGAGAAGTTCTGAAATTAAATAGTCTTGCTGAAGCAGAGCAATTTGAATAGTGATCAGGTGTAAGCAGTTTCTGGTTACTGTGGTCCATGTAAGGTTTTAGCAGACAATTCACCAGTTTAGGGGTTGGGGACACACACTACCTGCAAAGGTGAGTGTGAGTGCATTTGTAGGACCATAATTAATGTTACAGTATTGTGTATCTTCATGGTATTTTCTGCATCCATGTTTACTGTATTGCTGAATTAATTCAGCTGAATGTGGTGCTGAATGATTCTGCCCATGATAATTCATAGTCTGTTTAGAAGGAAAAATGTAACTCATTACAAACATGCAAGATTATGTACAAACAACATTATCCTCTCTTTAAACTTAAATTTCAGCTGTGGTAATTAAAAAAAAAAAAAAAGTGTAGTTTTAATATATGTAGTACTTAACACTGCTTCCACATTCACTGTCACAAACACAGTGATAAAAGGTGTCTTTCTTTCCTGTGTCCACGCCTCCCCACTGCAGTTCTCTGTGCTTGGCTGTGCCCAACACTGGGAAAGAGGAAGGATCTTAAATACAGTGACAGAGCACATGCACTGATAGACTCCCTGTGCCCTTGGAAAGAATAAATGCTTTTTCAAACCTCTGAGAGAGAGCCCATATCTCCTGACATGCAGATTGCCAGCCAGACCACATGTACTCCTACATGTCTGGATGAGCAGATATCCTATAGGCACATTCTTGTCAGGAGGCGTATGCCTGCCAACTGGCAAACTGGCAGGAGCCCATTTGTTGCGTTGGTCTGCTACCTCTTCCAGGAGATACGTCCTGTTTCCCAGACCTTTAGAAGACCAAATGGCACGTGCAACTTGTCAGCCAGTAGTAGGTCAAAAAATTACCAGGGCATGTGTGGGTCTGCAGGCTGCTTCAACTTTCAAGAACATTGAAACCTTCTACATAAAATACATGAATATTTAGAATTATTTAGGTTGGAAAAGACCCATAAGATCATTGGGTCCAACCATAGGTCAGTAACATTTTAAACTATGCATATATAGAGAGGGCTATTCAGTGACTTGAGAGCAAGTCACATCTTGTAAATGGCTCCATCAAAATTGTATCAGGAATGAAGTGCTACTCCAGCATGGCAAAATAAACAAAAAGCAAACTCACACTTTTGCATATCTATTTTTCAGGTGTTATATGTTCATTATAATAGTTATTAGATAAATGAAGCAGACATCCAGTATGCAGTGTTTACTTTTCTCCTATCCTTAGATCTTTGTTGTCAGTATTTTTACAGACTACAGTTGAGATAAAAACTCAAAACTTCATGACGTTTTTAGACTGCTGCGTTAGCATTGCACATTTTT